AGGAAAGATGAGAAAAACCTCCAGAACAAACTTCTTCTAGTATACTCACAAGTAAAGCGTTATGTTGTCTTGATTGAAGTCGGGCTGGCATTTATTTGCACTGAAGTGAAATGATCGTTCCCCGAAACCTAAAAGCTCCCTTTTTGAAAGATTACATTTGACTGTTTCATTCAAATCTTTTGTTATGTGATGCAACATAAAAAATACTCCAATGTAATGAAGTACGATAAATATTAATGAAATGTACAGAACAATCAGTATATCTTGATATATACTTAAAGGTAGGTAAGAATGGAGAAACCAGCTCGAGTGCGCTAGAATTTGAAAGTACACAGCCGAAAAAAATCTGCCCCTTCCTTACAGAGCCCCTCCTCCAACACACACGAACGCGCACATGACCAATGAGGGCACGAGATAAGTTTGTGCACAGATGGAAGGCTGACAAGCAGGTAGGCCATCCAGTTATTTTAGCTGGGCCGGCTCAGATGATTGGTCGTGCTTTTTACAGCGCCACGGCTTCCACAGATGACGTTTTTTATGCATTTATTGTCAAAGCATTTAATATATTCATTGCTATCGGGATGTTAAGAGCATTCCATGGAATATAAGAAAAAGTGTTTCTGAAGTGAATTACCTACCCCACCTTTAACTGGATTTAAAATGAACACTGCGATGTTAGATTTTGGCCACCACTAGTAAGAAGCATTTTATCGGTGAAGGTGAAGTACATTTGAACTACTTTATATATTGTTGAATCCTATATATGAACATTTTCTTTGAGCATCATCCCTATGGTTCATTTGATACCTTTCCATAATGTCAGCATGCAGCGCTCATGTTGAGGACGGCTGCTGAAGTGAGATTTCTAGCGACACACGCAAGATTGTATTCAACTACCAGGGCCATGGTGGTAGCACTCAGCTGTCGGTGGAGTGGTAAACAAGGCGAGATACTAAATGAAAAGAGGATGTTAGAGAGGGGAAAAGAGAAACAGAGAGAGAGTTGGAGAGGCTGATGGGCGAGAAGGAGGTAGACGTTAATGGCAAGGCAAGGCAGAGTTAGAGTTAATAAGGAGAGACGGACAGGAATTTAGTTAAAAAGATGTGGGGGGGGGGTGGGGGGGGGGGGGGGGGGGGGGGGGGCTGATGTGTTATGATGGAGAGGTGACGAGAGATGGAGGGAGAACAAAGAGATATGTCACATATCTTTCATGTTGAGAGGGCTGGAGGAGCGGCAGACATGGAGACCCACAGACAGCTAGCTTAAGTATGTTGTGTGTGTGTCATTCAAAGCATGTATGTTTGTGGTGTCAGGTGTGTGTGAAGTATGTGTGTGAAAGAGATTCCATTTTTTAAGCATGTGTCAGTGAGAGAAATAGAAAGAAGGGAGAGTAAAATACACAGCAGAGGTGAGAGGGAGGAGAACATATAGATAAAGCACTTCGACAAGGACAAGAGAGGCAAATATACAAAGCAAGCATGCCAAGTAAAGAGGGAGAGAGAGAGAGAGAGAGAGAGAGCATGAAATAGAGAAGGAACATAAAAGAGAAAGATGATTGATAGAAATGGCTAAGAGATGAAAGAATGAGAAGAGAGACACGGTGTAAAGGACAGAAGAAAATGATACTGCAGATACATAAAAACAAGGAGAGATAAAAGAGGAAGGGTGAGAGTAACGGGGAGACGGCAAAAACAAGGTAGAAAAAAACGTTTGCAAGAAAAGATGTTGACGGGGGAGAGCACATTAGGCTGCTGCAGTCCATGTTACACCGTGTTCAGGATTTAACTTTCCCCTCACCTACTGCACACACACACACACACACACACACACACACACACACACACACACACACACACACACACACACACACACACACACACACACACACACACACACACACACACACGTACTTACTTATTACATACAGTGTTTGCCTTACTGTCTCACAGAAAGAATATGTTTTATTTACCTATTTAATGTGCCCTGGTTTTATTTCCGTTTAGTATGAGAGTCTCTTAACTGTGTTTGGTTGTCATTTCCTAGTGTCTCTTCTCTCCTTTGCTGCACACACACAATCCCTTTTGGCTGAAAAAAGCATATCGCATTCATCTGAGTTTCATTTATTAATTTTAAAGTGGGAATCGAGCCTAAGAAGGACCCTCTCGGGCCATCGTGCCAAAACAAAAGGGAGAACCCTGCTGCTTGTTCAAGTGACATCGAGTCAGGGAAATAAAGTGTGTTTTAAAACTGTACGGACACAATATATAGAGTGGAGTGGCAGATTGGTGACAGGTAGAGGGGCAAATCCTTCAGCTTGAATTGAACACTGGATGTTGCGGTTAGGTGTCATTTGGCTACCAAGACACTGCAACTGAAATATTTTGAATGCAAAATGCGAAGCTGGCCAGAGCAACACCGCGTCTTATTCGCCTCCTCCGAGGAAAGATATTGTTCTCATGCTCTGTCCCGGTGACAGGTGACAGGTCGGTTTGGGCATTGCCACTTAAACAGAAGCATATGTCTGAGCATGTCACAGCCTCAGGGGAAACAACACATGAAACCGTAGCAAACATATCTGCCTCTTTTTACTGTTATAGTTCTCTCCACTATATTGTATTCAATTGTGAGACAACTCCTCATCTTCTACAGAATGATCATTTTTTATGATTAGTCTGCATAATTATGATTTGTCTTTCATTGTCATTACATAGTATGTACAGTAGTTATGCACGTGGATTTTGTGTATAATGTTAAATAGTGTATTAAAGAGGACATGTTATGCTCATTTTCAGGTTCATATTTGTATGTAGTGTCTCTACTGGGACATGTCTCCATGCTTTAATGTTCAAAAAGGTCTTTGTCTGTGCTGCAGCACCTCTTTTCACCCTCTGTCTGAAACCAGAGCCCAGTCTGCTCTGATTCGTTAGCTGGCCGGCTCTGTTTTGATTAGTCAACCCCTTAAAAATGTCCCGCCCCTTAGTATCACGAACAATGTGTTGGAGCACTAGCCATTTGAAGCGTGAGTGTTACCTAGTGATGTCACTATGTATCAGAAGAAAAGGAGTCAAATTGAGGCGTTTCAGGCAGGGGGGGGGAGTGTGTGGGAGAGAAACTCTGTCTGAGGGAGGTTTGGGAATTTGACCTTTGCAGACCATTTACATGCACTAAAACCTATATAACACAGTATACTACAGGAAAGGTAAAACCCCCAAAAGTAGAATAGGGCTCTTTTTAAATATTTGTTTTTAAAGTATTGTTACGCATATAGTGTAAACCTTGCACTTTGTGATCTGGCAGTTCTGATCTCAATTAAGTTCATGAGAATAAAGTGAATTTGATTTGTATAGATTGGTACGTACAAGGTAGAGACTGACAAAGAGAGCAAGGGAGTAAAATGAGACAGGAAATGGAGAGAGAAAGAACATCTGACAGCCAGAAAAAGAAGAAGGGGAAAAACTACGGGGGGGGGGGGGGGGGGGGGGGGGGGGGGGGGTGGGGGGGGGTGATGGGAAAGAGGACCTGACAGCCTCTGAAAGATAGGAGTGAGAGGAAGGGACTGAATGAGGTGAGGAATAAATGGAGAGAAGAGAGGAGAGCGATGAAGTGAAAATGAGCAGGAGAATACAGAGAGGAAGAGAGAAAGAGAGAGTGGAGTCTCGCGCTCATCAGTCAGAGCTGCTCATCCGGCGGCGGCTGCTGCCTTTGTCACGGTGACGGATCCTCGCTGTCTGCACGACGCTCGCCACCAACACCATTACAGCACATTACTGATGTACACACACACACACAGAAACACACACAGCGGAGCGGGAACAACACATTTAACAAGCGCACACACACGTGCAGAGGTGGTAGCACAACAAGACATTTAGCAAACACACATACAGGGGTGTTTGGTGTGAAATATACACACAGAGATACACACATCTAAATAGATAAATAAATAGATATGTTGTACTATTGATCATACTCTATGTTCTGCAAACGTTTTCTGGATTAGGACATGATATCTCAGGAACGCCTGGAGTATTGTTCTTCAACAAATTAAATTAATTGTTTTTCATTATAACAGATCCAGATATTAGAGTCATTATCAGACAGTATTGTTTTTGGCACATCTGTAGGTTTTGCTGTATGGATCTTTTCTTTGCTGATGGATGTGTTGTATTTACCTGTGAGTCTGGGTGACATGAAAGCAGGATAAGGCTGAATCAAATGGCCTTTAAACTTGTTGGGTGATTATTTTACTGAAGCATAGATCTATTGTTTTTATTACAATAATGATTGGATAACTGGAATTTGCACTCTTGGTCAAATTGGCTGTAAATAGATCCGGGTTTTGTGCACAAAACTTGAAATATCTGTCAGCATTATGTTCACTCAGGCTGTATTTGCATCTGGATGTCATTACATTGTGGGTCAGACCACCTCAAGATGTTCAGGGGCCTGAAAAATGGTAGACTATATACTATAGACACACACACTATCACACACACACACACTATCACACACACAACTCATATACAGTTGACAGTGAACTCAGCAAGCATTCACCGAGTCTCATTATTCTGATAAGCACCGTACATAGGTTTTTCACACACACACACACACACACACACACACACACACACACACACACACACACACACACACACACACACACACACGCTCATTTGGCAGCAGTGCAAGAACAAAAACCTGCAGAGACAGTAATCGCACAAAACTCACACAGAGACATAAATACCTCATTATCTATACACAGACACACACAAATGTGTTTTTACTTCAGACACACACACACACACTTTCTTTCCCTCTCTCTCTGTCTTCGATCTTCTCACTCTCTTGTCTTGCTTTCATCAAATCCACGCTGACAAAAAGCAGCATATGCAGCTACACTAAGCAACAGCTGTTCAATGGGAGATATAGTGTAAGACTGAGTGTTAATGTGCGCTGTGTATAAAAGCTAACGAAGCTCTGCCATCATTTTGTCTCCACAGTACTACGAGATGTCCTACGGTCTCAACATTGAGATGCACAAACAGGTAAGAGAGAAAGTTTTTGGGAGTTTTTCCTCAGTCTTCACTCACTGCTTGTTGTGAGTTTGTGTGTCTCACTTTCTGTGTAGAAGCTGCATTGTTTTGAGTAGGCGTTATGAAGTGAATGTTATTTTACCCACACAAACATTGTATGCCAGTGTGTCATTTTGTGTGGGTGGCTTTTTTACTATATTTCCATGAACCTGTCCTTGTTATTATTTTGTGTTAGGACTTAACGGCCTCCATAAATGTAAAAAAGGTGGACAAATGAATGGCAAACATGTACCATAGTAGGGGTAAACGGAAAAAAAAACCTGTGTATTTCCACAAAAACTACACAATAAGTCTTTTGGAGTTTAGATTGTTATTGTTTCTTAGTGTTTTCTTTATTCGTACAATTCTGTGTATTAAGGATGAGCCGGAAAAAAGTAACTTAGCACCAAGAGTTTTTTCTCTCTTTTACTTGTTTAATAATGATTCAGCAACAAGTGGTTTCAACACTGATTTCTGAATGACTGATTTTATTAGGTTTTGTAAGGGGTCACTGCAAACCCTGTCGTTTACCTCTTCATGCCTCCTATCTTTTATACAGAGGCATGAAGCAGCAGAGTGCGTTTATGTACAGTTATGATATTGTGAGGACAGCGTTTCACTCGGCTATTTTGAAACTAATAAGCGCTAGCGGCTGATGTGAATGCCTTCATTTACTATTAAGATGGCTTTTAAAGACAGAAGCATTAGCAATGGAAAATATGTGTTTTACTGAATTAGTGGCAAAGACAACTGTAATTTCAACTTTAACTAAACACTTTAATGTATTTAGTGCAGAGTTGTTCTTTTGCGTTATGGTAAATCAGAATCAGAATCAGAAACGGGTTTATTGCCAGTTAGGTTCACACATACGAGGAATTTGACTTGATGTCATGGTGCATACATAAAATATAAAACAAAGAATCTCCATATAAATCTAATAATGGATTGTGTTGACTGCAGAGGCTGGGATCAAAACAACTACCTTCAAATTGAATCCAAACTAACCTCATAGCAAGTTTTAGGTCACACAGTTGTTCTGGTTTCTCAGTGTAGTCATGGCTAAATTAAGCAGGCTCTTAAATTCCCCTGTAAACAAAACAAAACATGTCATTTTGACATGTATGGCTTGTACAGTAACTATAGCAATGACAAACGTATGTTTTACAGAAGTGTGTCGACAGACTTGAGGTGAAGTGACACTAGATTGTGACTTCGCTTTTATCTACAGCAGCGTTTTGGTGGGTGGTCCTAACCAGGGGGGCTTCAAACAGCCCAAGGGGAGGCTCAGTAAATCGGAAGTAAAACCAAACATTGATGACATTAGATATGAAGAAAATATCATATAAAAAAGCCTAAGATACGTGTGTGAACAAAACTGTATAATTGCATGGTTGCAGTTAAAACGGTTTTCAACTAAGTGAATTTAAACAACTCAAAAATGCAAAAAAACATACTTGTTAATGTTATTTAATCCAATATAAACAAGATTCTTTTAGCTTTTAGTTGAATTAGATAGCTCAGATACAGTTGTTTGGAAGTTTTGACCACTTTCCAACAGTCAGAAACTATTAATCCTGAGGAAAAAGACTGTTTAATATATAAGTCTAAAGTTATGTTAAACAGCATTATCAGGCAAGTTTGGCACATTTGTTTGAGGGATCAAATAACATAACCATGATCCCAAAGCCATCCAGGAATTGACAAGCAAGTAGACTTAAGGAGCACCTTTTCCAAAGCTTTGGGTCGAACCCAGATTCAAAGCAAAAGAAAGTGTTTTTTCTTAACAATGTAAAGCCCAAATCCCCGGTATAAAGAGATAGAACAAGGTCAGTGTAGATTATTATTATTACCCTTCATGCTCAAAGTGATCCGGTATTCTTGAGCGAAGAAGACGTGTGTGTGAGATGAGCAGCGTGTGCTCTCAGGAGTCGCTGAAAGCTTGTCAGTTTTCACACTTGCTGCTAATTTGCTGTCTGGATCACGCTGCAGAAAAAGGGAGACAGTCAAATTGCAGACATGCAGATAAATGTCCAGACAGACAGAAAGACAGACAGATGGATGGCAGACATGAGATCTGTTCTGCCGTGGTGTCAGATCCATGCAGATAGGCAGAGTCATTACCCAGCTGAATGGCGTCTTCCGTTAAGGTGACTGTCTGCGTCTCCCCCCTCTCTTAATCTGTCTTACTGTCATGCTAACTCTGCGGTGGAAAAAAAGACAAGAGGGGATTTATCTTTTCCACATTTTACAAAGAACTCCCAGCATGCCCAGCGTAATGCATTTAGAAAGCAGCTCTTTGTTTGAACTGTTCTCTAAAAACACCCTCAAATGAAAGCCTCCGCACTTTAAACTCATAATCATTTTGTCATTTTATGATCAAGGGAATTATAGCATACAGTGGGTTTCTGTCCAAATACGTGTAGTGCAGTGTACATACTTAGTCCTGACTACAGTACTGACTGATCAAGCGTTGAAGATGCAAGGTGACTCTCGGTGACACTAACATGAAATGGCAAGACATGTTTGTGTAGAAGGTTTACCTGGACTCATATATACATACATTTGATAAGGTGTTCTTTGGATAAGGATATAAGTAGACACACACATTTCAAGAAATCTCAAGATGCTGTTATAATAAAGCCATGTTCATTCTTTAAAAAGACAAGACCTTGGAGTTGAAGTGGCACTGCATTGTTCTGCAAGAGGGTTTTAATGATTCTTAAGTAAGTGCAATTTCCTTTTCTTTCTGTAAAGATTAAATGAAATGCTTCGTAAAGTTATTTATTTTTGAAAGAGAAGACCTTGGAGTTTTCTTGTGATTTGTGTTAGGTAAAGTGGCACTGCATTATTCTCCAAGAGGGTTTTATATGTCGATAATGATACTTCACTTCACTTCCTTTTCATATGATGTGTCCCTACACCACCAAACAATAATGCAGAGGAAGTTGAGCTTTAGTTACCAAAGTGTTACCCAACAGTGTAGACTTAGGAAGAAAGACAAGAGGCTGGAAACAAAGCCGGGCAGAGTTCGACTGTCAGCTCTTGTCACTGAAAAGCAGAAATGTTCTGGGGTGCTGGCTGCACCTCTGAGACATGGAGGGAGGAAGAGGAGGAGGAGGAGGGGGAGAAGGAGGGGGATACGTTTGGAAGTTGACAGAGGGAGGCCAAGGAGGGATAGCGTGGAGAAAAAGGGGAACGAAAGAGGGGTAGAAGGGGTTTGTGGTGGGGATGACAGAAGGAGATCAGGGGAATGGGAATAAAAAGGGAAATACATGAAGAAGAGGAGGGTTTGAGTCAGGAACTAGAGTACAAGGAGATGAGAAGAGCGGAAGCAGGGTGTCCGCGGGGTCTTAAAAAGTATTAAAAGTTGATAAATCAATTTATGAAGGCTATTAAAAAGTATTAAACGGCATTTTCCAAGGTATTACATTGTTGTTTTCAATAAGTATATAAATGGTCCAAAGAGGTTGTATTCTACAGTCTGCCTGAATGTAATCATTGCGTAGGTGTGTAGTGTGATTCTGTGTAGTTTATTTATGGCATCCCGTTGGATTTGACGTCATCTGAACAGGACATCGCACGCTCACTGCTTGATAGTGCGCGAAGGTCCGTTTACGCCGGTTGTTAAAGGTAGGGTAGGTAAGTTTGAGAAACCGGCTCGAGATACACTTTTTGTTATATTCCATGGAATGCTCTTAACATCCCGATAGCAATGAATATCTTAAGTGCTTTGACAAAAAAAATCCATAAAAAAATGTCATCTGTGCAAGCCGTAGTACTGTAAAAAGCACGACCAATCATCTGAGCCGGCCCGGCTAAAATAACTGGATGGCCTACCTGCCTGTCAGCCTTTCATCTGTGCACAAACTTTTCTCGTGCCCTCATTGGTCATGTGCGCGTTCGTGTGTGTTGGAGGAGGGGCTCTGTAAGGAAGTGGCAGATTTTCTCCGGTTGTGTATTTTCAAATTCTAGCGATATCGAGCCGGTTTCTCAAACTTACCTACCCTACCTTTAAACAACATCGTTATGGGGAAATGCAAGTTTGCGTCCAAATGGTTGGAAGATAAGGAGGAAGGACAATCAATACTGTATATAGTAAATGTGAGGTAAAGTGTGTCGCCAATGTAACCGGTTAAAACTCAAAGTGGCGATGAGGTCTTAAAATGTATGGAAAGGGTCTTAAAAAAGGTCTTAAAAGGGATTACATTTGACTTCAGGATTCCTGCGTATACCCTGGGAATATAAAAAGGAAAAGTATGTTTGAGCAACGAGGAGAAAAAAAAGATTGCTGGTAAAAAGGTTTAACAGGAGAGACGGTGAGATAGAAAGGTGAGGCAGGCAGTAAAAGAGAACTTACAGTATCATAGATAGAAAATGGAACAGAAGAGCGGAAATTGACAGAAATAGCATAGAAAGGAGACGAAGGTAGGACGAGAGTGTGATAGAATATAAAATGAGGGAACTGATATTAAAAAAAAAAAGGACATCAAAAGGAGACGTGATGGGAAAAAGAGATACCAAGAGGAGTGGATGAGCACAAAAGGAGAGGTTGTAGAATAGCAGAGCGGAGGGGAAAGTGAAGGGGATAGTTTTAGAAGTAAGATAATTAAAGAAAATGAGCACTTTGAAGATACTGTGAGGAACAAGCTGAGAGAGTGCAAGGGGAAATAAAAGTGAGAGATGGCGGGAAGAACTAATGTTGGGAGAAGTGTGAGAGCAAGCATGAGAGGATGGAGATTAATTGAACGGATGAAAGAGGAGAGGGTAAACAGGAAGCATGGAGCCCAAAGAAGAGACGGATAAAGACCTCAGAGAACAGATGAGGGGTGGGAAAAGAGATGGAAAATTAAAGCAAAGGAAAGTAACGGAGGGAGAAGGAAAGAAAGATGGATGAGGGCAGTGAAAGAAAAAAAAGGGGGAGATGGAGAGAGACATCAAGGCAGGGAGGGGGAGGCTTTGAGCTGCAGTGAGAA